TTCAATTAAACGTGTTAAATATTACACGTAATTACAAAATATATTAAAAAGATATGATGGTAGTAGTGTGATGTGATATATGGTATGGTGTGTATGTGTTTGTTAAATCAAGTCACACCAATGATGTTCGTTTGGAACTTAATAACTTAATGTATTTGTTTCGATTTTTTTTTTTTACTCTCCTTTCTCCTCCTGCATTCTTCCCTTCGTATAATAATAATAATAATTAATTAATAATAATAATAATAATAATAATAATAATAATAATAATTAATAATAATAATAATTAATAATAATAATAATAATATTCGTACTTGCTAGACAATGTGAAATTTAATTTAATGACAATTCGATTAATTAATGTTGTTTTGTTTTTGTTTTTTTTTTTTTTTAAATTCATACGTGCTTTTTTGTTTTTTCTTTTTTTTTAAATATTATTCAAAATTGTTTTTTTTTATTTTTGTATTTTTTATTTGAATCAATTCGCATTCTTTTTTCGTTCGTTTGCTTCGAACATTCATTTTCGCGCTCTTCTTTTCTTATTTTCATTGTTAGATTTTTTAATTGTTTTGTTTTGTTTTTTTTTTAATTTATTTGTAACATTATAATTGTTTAGTAATAATTCTGATAAATAGATAGAAGAAGAAGAAGGGTAAACGAACAGATTTGGGAATAATGAAAGTAATGATTGGTGGTTAATGGTGATGGTATAATATAATAGCAATGATGATTGGTTGGATTTTGGGTGGTGGTGGTGGTAATGGTGGATGAGTGGGGTGGTGTCTCATAATTATAATTATAACCTTTTTTTTTTTTCTTTTTTCAGCATTCCATGTCTCGTCACGTGAAATTTTACAAACGTTTTTTCCTTTTAATTTCTTTCATTGTTTTTTTGTTACATTCATTTTGTTCTTTTTTTTTGTTTTGTTTTGTTTCATAATCTCATTTCTTCTTCCTTCTTCAAACACACACCTAACCCCACATTTACACACAAAGAGAGACTGATATAACACAAAGAATTTACAAAACTTGTTAAAGGCTCTCTTTTTCTTGTTTGTTTGTTTGTTTGTTTGTTTTTCTTTCTTTTTAAAAGTTACTTTAAAACTGACTCACGTATTGAATTATATTTGGTTTTTAGTCTCCGCCATTTTGTTTAACCTCCCCAACAACTCACAAGACTCTTTTTCTCTTTCTCTCAATTTTTTCTCTTACACAAAACACACATACATACATACATACATACACGTATATTCATACATTCATACATGCACACATATTCATACATTCATACACTCACACAGTTGGTATTTGATTCAGAAATTAGAAAACCTGTTTTACTTTTAATTTCTTACTCTCAAGTTTGTTCTTTCATTCATTCATTCATTTTTTCAAAATGAAAATTTTAAAGATACACACACACATATACACACAGACACAACACAGATTCAGATACAGATGCAGACACGTATTATGAAAGAAGATGAGACAAGATTTGTGAAGAAAATCCTTTTTCTTTTTTTCATCATTCTTTCTCTTCTTCTTTCTTTCTTTCATAACTCATCCCCTCTCTTTCTCTTTCTCTATTAATTATATTATTTTTATCATTATTATTATTAAATATATTTAATTGTTACTGTCTCATATTACAATCTTATTTCAATTATTCATTATTCAAACGATTTGAATAATTTCTTCTTCATAAATTTTCCATACGAATGAACATTACGAAGATGCGTAGTTTGTTGACTGGTTGGTTGGTTGCTGATTTGATTAGTTTATTAAAAATAAGAGAGAGTTTGTTTAATTTTTTTCTTTTTTGTTTTGTTTTGGAGACTTTAGAGTGTTATAGATGAAAGAAAAAAAGAAAAAAGAAAAAAAAAAGGATTCAACTTGACTCTCGACCATTTTCTATTCGTCGTAAATACACACAGTTACAAATTACAAATTACAAATTACAAATTACAATGCAATGAGAATAACATGCTTTTCTATAACTCTTTCTTTCTCTATCTTCTCTTTCTCATTCATAATCACATTTTTTTCATTCACATTCATTCACATTCATTCACATTTATTCATATTCCATTCATTTTTATTATTCATTCATTTTCATTCATATTTATTCATTCATTCATTCATACATTCAATTGATTTATGTTCTTGTTCGGTTTGTTGTTGCACGCTTGTCAGCCATGTTTCTTTTTTTGTTCAGTTTTAATTCTTGACCAATCCTCATTATTATTATTATTATTATTATTATTATTATTTTGTTTATTTATTTTCTTTTTTCTTCTCCTTTCTTTTTTTATCTTCTCTCTCTCTCTCTCACACACACATTCTCTTTTTCTTTAATTATTTCTTCCTTTTTTAATAATCTAACCAACAACAGAACAATTTCATTGTTCATGTGAAAAGTAGTAATAATAATAATAATAATAATAATAATAATAATAAAATAAGAATTTGGAAAGATTTAAAAGATCAAAAGAGAGAGAGAGAGAGAGCAACGTACGATGATATTTATTTTGTTTTGTTTTTTTAATGAGGTTATTATTTAATATATAGGGTGTGTGTATTTTGTTTCTTTCTCACACAACTTGTAAAATTCCCCATCCTCTATTACACAACTTCCAATATGGCGAGTTTTGAAAGAAAAAAAAAAAGAAAAAGAAGAAACTGTTGCATACAAAAGTTGCACAATTGTATTATTTGAAAAAAAAAAGAGGTACTACCACCCATGAACATTTATTGTAATGCATTTTATTTATTTACTTATTTAATTTTATTTCATTAATTTGTTTATAAATAGAAACGTTACTTTGATTCACGTAGGAATCATCACACGTTTATTGTAATGCATTTTTATTTATCATATTTTTATTATTAATTTTCAATTTTTAATTTGTTTTACAGATAAAAACGTTTCGTAGATTCTGATAGGGAAATCATCGCAAATGTTTTGTTTTATTTCTAATCAAAACAACATCTAATTATTACAATGTTCATTTTGTATTTTATATCAAAAAGTTTGAACGAATATTCGAATTATGAATTAAAAAAAAAAGAAAAAGAGTATTATTATTATTATTATTATTATTAGTATTACTATTATATGATATATGTTTTTTTTTTTTAAAGGTTCCTTTAAATCTAATTAACAAACGAGTAATTTTACCTTCTTTTTTTTTATATCATATACATATATATATTCTATCGAGTATATATAATATATAAATATATATATTTATATATTTATATATATTAAGCGTGTGATTAAGATTGAATTTCTCCAAACTTCTTGTGATATTATTACAATACGCGAAAGAACAAGAAAGAAAGAAAAAAAAAAAAGAGATAAACAAAAAATATGTCGGAGAAATATAATACAAAGTGAAATTACTCGTTGACCAATTAGTTTTATAGGAGGGGGAGGAAGTGTGCTGATGCTAATGAATAAAAGTCCAGAATTATTTTTTATTTTTCTTCTTCTTCTTCTTCTTTCTTCTTATTTTTTCTTTTTTCAACTCATAACTCGATCATTCAAATTTTACTACTAAAAAACATTGTTTTGAAATTTTATTTTTTTCTATTTAAAACGAACAAAATGTTTTTTTTTTTTTAACAAACCCTCCCCACCCCCACCCCAACTCCCTCTATCTCGAATCTTCGAAACGTTTTTTTCTATATAACCTATAAAAAAAAAGAGAGAGAGAGAGAGAGATAGATTCAAAAAAAAAAAAAAAAAAAAGAAAAATTTTCAATTCACTATCGTACGCATGTGTAATTACCCTCCCCCTCCCCTCTTCTTCTTTTCTTCTTCTTCTTTTTTTTTTGTAATTCATGCAACTTTCGTATACAAAAATTTTCTTGTTGTTGATCGAACAAACGCACACGCACAATTTTGTTGTATTATTTTGATTGAAAAAAAAAAAAAAAAAAAAAAAAAAAAAAAAAAAAAAAAAAAAAAAAAAATATTTAATAGAAATATCCACCCAACCTCTCACCCACACACAACACACATAATACACAACCAGGTTTTGCTTGAAACCACCCCCACACACACACACACTCAGACGATAAACACACACACCTCTATTATTATTATTATTATTAATTATATGTAATATATTAATTAATATTTCGCATGATCGACGAAAGGACAAACATGGCCGAGAGAATACGCAATTATCTTCTTCTCTTTTCTTTTGTTTTCTTTTTCTTTCTATCGATTTTATTTTTTTAAACGATTTTTGTTTGTATTTTGTTTTTTTTTTCATCGGTGATTGGTTAGTTGGTTGATTGGTTGGTTTTGGTGGTGTAGAAGAAGAGAGGCTGCTTACTTTTTTTTTAATACGTTCGAGGTGTTGGTTGTTCTTGATTTTTGTTTGTTTTTTTTGTTTAGTATATATATATATGTATAATATTAATATATATATATATATATATTGAGCCGAGTGTTGGTAGTAGTGGTGGTATTATAATAACTGTGACGACGGCATCGGCTAACATCATATTTAATTATATGATGTACGGATGTGTTGTTGTTTAGAGTTGTTGTTGGTTGTTATTTTTGGCGGGAACATTGTTTAGAGACAAGGAAAAGGATTATTTTGTATTTTTAGTTATCAAGAGGTAGGAGGTAGGAGAAGGTACGAGGAGGAGGAGGAGGAGAAGAGGGGGAAGAAAGAAACAAAAGAAAATGATATTTCGAAGCGTTTCACATTTCTTTTCTTTTTTTTTTTTTACTTAATTTGTTTCGTTGGAAGGTGGTATGACAACAACAACAAAAAAAACCATATGGGGGACAAAAGGAGAAGAGGAATAATAAAAATGGGTGTACAGTAAGAAGAAGATATATATATATATATACGAAATAAGTTTTAAAGTAGTGTTGTAGGTGGTGGGGGGAGTGAGAAGGATAATGGGCTAAAGGAAAATGGTGACCCGGTGGATAGGAGAGGGGATAATAGAAGAAACAAACATTTGTGAAGAAGAAGAAGAAGAAGAAGAAGAAGAAGAAGGAAACGCGAGAAGAGAGGATTTAAAAAAGAAAAAAAGAACACAGGTGTGAATGAATGGTGGTAAGTTGGTGTGGTGGTGGTGGTGGTAAGTTGGTTGGGGATGGATGGAAATATAATGGGGTGGTGTGGTGGTGGTGTGAGCACTTTTTTGTTGTTTTTTGTTTTCTTTGTTTGTTTTTTTTCTTTTTTCTTTTTTGTTTAAAGGGACGGGGGAGACGATAGGAGAGTAGGATGTTCTTATTAGATTAGAAAGGACTTAAGCTTAGGAAGGTTAGTTGTCGCCGCCCTCCTGTGGTTCGTCCCCGTCGCCCTGCGTGTCACTGGTCCATAAAGTGAGGTTGTCACGCAGCAGCTGCATGATCAGCGTGGAGTCTTTGTAACTGTCCTCGTTTAATGTGTCCAGTTCCGCGATCGCATCGTCAAACGCCTAAAAATAAATATATATATATATATATATAGCTATGATTTATTTATATATTATTTTATTATGTATATATATATAGTTATGTATACAATGTCATAGAACAATTCAAATCAATCTGTTAGAATTCATTTATTTATATCTTATCCGTGCAAGATATATTTCATTTTGATTTAATTTGGTAATTAATATTTGTATTATTATTATTATTATTATTTAGTTTTCTAGCGACTTTTTAGATGATTGGTTAATAGTGGTACAGCTTTTTTTGCGGGGTGGAGGTGGCATAAACAAGTTTTATTATTATTATTATTTGTTATTTTGAAATTATTAGTTTCAGGTAATATAATTGATATTCCAATTAAATAATAGCAGGATTAGGCTTTAAAGTGAGGTTATAATATCTAATTTGATTTGTATTTAATATATAAAAATATGTTAGATAAGAAGTAATATATTGGAAATAATATAATTTGTGAATAAAAATGTAATCTAAGCTAGATTATTTATTTTTATTTATTTATTTATTTATTTATTTTTCTAGTAACTTTTTAGATGAGTGGTTAATGGCGGTACAGTTTGTTTTTGGGGTGGGGGTAGATAAATAAGATGGTATTATTGGTTATTTTGAAATTGTTGGATTTAAAATATCAGAAAATATGTTAATATAATTATTCAAATTAAATAATGTCGGATGATAATACTTTAAAGTTAGGTTATAATATATCTAATTTTGATTTATATTTGATAAAAATATGTTAGATAAGAAATAATATAGTAGATATATTTTATATTAGAAATAATGTAATCTGGTAACTAGATTAATATTGTATTATTATTTTTCTAGTAACTTTTTAGATTACTAGTTAATAATAGTAGTTTTTTAAAGTAGGGGTGGATAAATAAGTTAGTTACTTTTATCTTAAAATTACTCTCAGAAAATATGTTAATATAATTGTTCAAATTGAATAATACCAAGATTATACTTTAAAGTTAGGTTATAATATATCAAACATGATTTAAATTTGATAAAAGTATATTAAAAATAAGAAATAATATAATAAAAATATTTTATATTGAAAATAATGTAATATATAACTAGATTAATATTGTATTATTATTTTTCTAGTAACTTTTTAGATTACTAGTTAATAATAGTAGTTTTTTGAGGTGGGAGTAGATAAATAAATTAGTTATTGTTATCTTAAAATTGTTACTCTCAAAAAATATATGTTAATATAACTATTCAAATAAAATAATAATCAAACTTGACTTATATTTGACAAATATGTTAAATAAAACTGAAAAAACTAGTATAAATTATAATTGGATCAAACAAAAGCACACTCACAAATATTATTATTATTACTATTATTATACTGGTAAGATGTGTTTTATGTGTATAATCGATCAGCCACATAAACAAAACAAAAAAAGAAATAAAAATCCAATTCAAATTGAAAAACAACACACTAAAAATGATTTCTTGTTACCCCTGACCTGTTTGGCCAAGTGACAGGCCCTAGCGGGGGAATTGATAATTTCATAATAAAAAACGGAGAAGTTGAGGGCAAGGCCAAGCCTGATCGGATGTGTAGGTTGCATTTTTGCTTTTGCTATATCGAACGCCTCTTGATATGCCTTCTGTGAATCATCAACTACCGCTGCAATGTAAATCACAGATAATAGAGACTATTGATCATCATCATCATCATCATCATCATTATTCACGATTTCTTTCACCTCATTCTCGTTGTTAATATACGTGTTATCATTTAAAACAAGGAGGAATACAAATAATTGGAACGTGAGAGAAAACTAATGACAAAATCAGAAATTACAAGGTGTGTATGCACAGCACATGCCAATGTTAAAAACATAACCAATAAAACAATTGCAAGGACAACAATGTTTTCTTCTTGTATGAATCATCGACACCACCACCACCACCATCATTATAATCACTGCACCACCACCATCATCATCATCATCATCATCAGTCGCTTATTTGATAAGGTTCCTGTAAATTTAAATAAATATATGATTAAGTGTTATTGTTTATACCTGTTTGGCCAGCTGACAGGCCTTATCTGGTGAATTGAGGATCTCGTAATAGAAGACCGAGAAATTTAGAGCTAGACCTAGCCTGATCGGATGGGTGGGCTGCATCTTTGACTTGCTGATATCAAATGCTTCCTGGTACGCCTTCTGGCTATCATCTACCACAGCTGTATATGTTTGTGAATGACAATCAAGATATTGGATTTGTTAGATTATTAATAATTGTGTATACATTATTTTTAAACAAAAAGCATTATATTATATTGTATAACAATTTAAGCGCACACTATCATGCTAAATCAAATTTATCGTCAACTACTACACTACTCTTTGGTATATATATATATATATATATATATATATATATAT